CCAGGGGTTTTACAGATGCCAGACTTTGCACTTTGTTTCTGTTGTATTGTTGAGGGTTTGATTCCTAGGGAGTTCATTTATTTCTCACAGTTGCAATCGATTCGGGATCATGTCTGTCGCATCAGTCTGTGTTGTGGCAGATGGTTAGTTATGCTTGCGGCATCATTTTGTCAAAGTATGCAGTATTTAGGGTTAGGATGAGAGCCTATTCGGATGTCGCAGTTTATTGGTATAATAGTTTTGATTTATTAGACAGGTGTGTGCAGGAGCAAGCCCCAGGTAATATATGCATCCATGGCATATATCAACAAAGAGACAAATGTAGAGCTAGCAACTTTCAAGCGCTAGTGGTCTAATAACACAGAACACCATAATATTCACTGTTAGACTCCCAAAACCTACCAATAAACCGTTCTCGGGTCCATAAATGCGATGCGGTTGCTAAAAACGCTACCTCCTCCTGCTCCAAACGAGGCCGTAACCATTGTATCAAGAAAGATAACACGGTCGCATTAGCCACAGTTCATTCTCTGTAGACCGGTTGAGTTGAATGCACATTTACTGTCCTAATTTCTCAGTGACATGTTTATGGTGATCAATTAGGAATGTTTTCCTATTTAAGCATTAGCTTTTCCCGCGTATACCATCGAATACATCGCTATGCTATACCATGCCAGTAGGCTTGCCGTTACCGCGGAGGGGGATGAACTTAACGCCTTTGGAGACGCTTCAACATAAGATTTGTTGAGTGAATGACGATATGGGAACTGGTGCATATCACAAGGGATTAACATGAAGAGATTTTACATGCCTTCAGCATATCTTATGTGCACCACATGGTGTCGCTAGTATGGCAGAAGACACTCTCCAGCTGACAGTTCTACTTTAGGGAGCAGATATTGCATAAATTCTATTGTTTGTGTTTGCAATACAATCGATGGAAGGCCCTATGGACCATTTATTACAATACTTTTCCAAGAGTCGACAGAAGCGCTTAACTTCACGCTGTGGTTTAACCTTCACCAAATGGTGATAGAGTTCGACGTTGACCAAACACAAAAGAAAGAAAAGGTGTAAAACCCGAAGCTCTAATAAGAGTTCAAGCGTGGTTTACTCTGACCAGAATAGGCGATCCGTCACAGCAATAAGATAGCACGACGCGCGTTTTTCAGTGGTGTCTCGATGTGAAGGTGTAACTTCCATAGATCCGTCCTTTTTAAAAGAACCCGATCATCACTATTGCAAACTTATCTTTAATCATTTTACATGATTGGCAGTTGTAGGGTTACTTCCAACTAAGTTATCCATCTATCCCACAGGCGTGATTTGTTGCCTCATTCTATAGGTGAAAAATTAGGAAAAAATATTTAAAACATCTAACTTAGGGGAACACCATCGATTAGTTCCTAATGATTTCCAAATTACAATTTCGCAGTTATAGATGACTGGAACATTGCAGTTGTGCTGGTGTGAAGCTGAACTCGTTATAGACATCTCAGGAATCGATTGGATTTGGATGATCTCGCTTGAAGAACATTATCTGACTCGTTTCATGGTGCTTTTTATTACACACCTAGGTGTGATGAACAGCAGACGGGGTGCACCCCATAGTCATGAGGACCTGCTGTTCAGTGGTTGAAATCGACAACCTAAGCCCCGGAACTTGGGGTGGCGAACCACATAAGGCCCGACAGGTTATGCGTGGTATTGAACCGGACGACAGCAGAGCTGCCTACCACCAGTCGGGTGGCGGGGCTCGAACCTCGGACCATAGGGTCCAAAGCACACCGGTGACAGCGACTAAACCACTGCGCCACCACCACCCTGGTACAGTGTACAGCCGAGAAGTATGCTCATAAGTGAGAAACAAAGTCTATGTATAAAGCCTATATGTGCGTGATTACAGGGACTTCATCTGAGTGGACTATCCACAAACTAAACTAAATTAAACTAGCACAAACTAGCTCACAAATTCCGTTGTTCGAGCTATCTTTCGCTCATAGTGGATTATCATTATGAAAAAAGTGTATTGAAGAAAAGATCAATTCGATAAATAATCACATTACAAACGGTTCAAATGATTGACTAACTACTCAGCAAAACGAAGCCCTCACACTAGTTAATGACTGCTTTCCCCGTTTGCCAGTGATTAGCCAAATAGGTCGCATACGCGAATCACGTGACCCATGCGCTTCCCGACCTCGTTGATAGGCTGACTAAGTTTTGACTATCTACAGTCAGAGTGAGAAAAATGTATCACTGGCTGGGACATCCATTAAAGCTGATTGCGTCCGACCTGCAAAAACGATCACACATGGAATCCAGGTTCACTGATCAAACAATTCGGTTTAAACCACTTTGACATATGGTCACAAATAAGTAAGTAAACTACATAGAATGCTATGCATACGTGTACATGGGGACACTAGATGACGAATGTTTTCAGAGACAATTGATTTACACCATTTCATCGATGGTCGATGTACGCCGACCCGAGGATGGGACGGAAGTCAGTAAGTAAAACAACACCAGGTAAGGATAGATTAAAGTTGTGAAACAGAACAGAACTAAATATTTCTTTATTTGAAAATCGGTAACCAGTGGCGTCTCACGAATCATCGGCCATATTGCACTAGTTCCCAATACCCCGTATCAAACTCCGAGGACTACATTGCAAGTAGTTACGTTTCCCAGGACACCAATAAAAACCTACAAGAGAAGAGTACCAGACCACGGTAGCGCCCAGGTGTAGCATAGTTCTGAATATACAAGCAAAAAGAATATCCTGTCTAATTCACGGATCGGTCGATGCGAATTTAGGTCAAACCAGGTGAACGACAATTGTCATTGATTCTTCATCGTTTAAAGTGGCCTCAAGGGGATAACGTACAGGCGCGTGCAACCTAGTTGTGGATGGAAAGCGAAGAACAATAACGATAAGTGTAAACTGACGGAAGCTTTTAAATCAGTTTTTGTCACCGAAAAAGCTCATCATTTACCTGTTTCTCTTGTCCATCTTCTGTTTCACAAACTGGTTCGTCGTCTTCACGATTAAACCGCCTGCAGTATTCAAGATTGGTCTGTCGTCAAATGCTTCTTTACTCCAACTCACCTGTACTCGGCTCACTCTTCAATTCACACCATCCCGAACCTGATCGACTGAAACTCGTCTAATCAATACATACTGCTGTGAGCCATCTTTACCAAGTGACTCACAGGTGAACTTCAATTACACCTACTCTACTACTTACGAACTCCAGTAAGTAGTTTGGCACGGAATTAACGACCGAACTTTATTGCTATGGCTTTTTAAACTTACATCCACGACCTTATTCGCGTATACCATAGCACGGACTGAGCACGCTGAAAACCGGTTTGGGTATTATCCGAAACTAACCGACCTTGTCAAACCGTTAAGGTCAGTATCACATGGACCCGAATAGCGTGAGTTCGAATACCAACACGTAGCCTCAAGCAGCGCCTAATCGGCCACAGCTAACCCTCATTCTCGAAAAGTGTTTGTTTGTTTGTTTTAATTCAGAACGGAAGTAGATTCACTCCTAGTCGTATCATGCGAATCATCTGGAATACACATCATCCACTCTGGAGAACTTTAGACATTATTGTCTATTGATGATGATGACCCGCGGATATACAGTGCATGCCTTCTATTTATCTTAAATTCTTAAACAAGCGGTCAGAACTATTAACTGTGCGGTCTATCCTTCGTATACTGCGCTTTTGCTTTGGTTTGAACTTGTTACCTAAACACTTCCGTATGATTACCAACTCAACATGACGTAATACCAAATATATATATATGTATATATCACTTAGTGAATCTTTCTCGACTGCTGCCATAACCGGGATGAGCTTAGCGAACAAATGCTGACACACGGACCGGTACTCGTGAAGCGCCAGTTTCGTAATACCTGCCCTCGAAGAAAGTGTTGGAAATACAAACCAGTTCTGCGAAAACTGCTCAATGCAAGCATGACAGAAACAGAGCAGAGCAGTGAATCACACGAAAGCGCAGTTAGGAAGGCAAAGCTATGGCACAACAAGCTCGACGGTGTGTTGTACGGCAGCCCTTTGATTAGCCGCCTCCTCCTTCCTGAGAACTGCATCATTATGTATTCAATAAAAAGAAATAAAAATGAAAAAAGAAAGAGAACAAATGTAGTGATGACATGGGTCAGGGGAAATTTGGCGGTCATTATCTCTCCACCACAACCTGATTGTGAGTACTACCAAACTCTAGTCGGTGGAAAATCTACCGCATGCGATAAACGAATGAAGTTTGTGGAGGCAGACTTCGAAACAGTTGTTGTCCAACCAATAAACCACGTGATCTAGAAAAGAATGTCACAAGCCGGTCGTGTTCTAGCGTTCGCTGTCCCAGCCCCAAATTACTTCCGATCTATCCGACTGCTTTTGTGAGCCACATTCTGTTCAACCAAAAATGTCACTCGCGTTTTCTTACTTTCTCGTGGGGAAAAATACAAAAAGGTGTTAGGTCAACTCTTGTAATACAAAGCGAAAACATTTATGTCTAAAAAAATACCGTACGTTTCTGGTTAGCATCAGAAGATATGACATTGGAAAGCGGTAAAAAGCACACATTTGTCGTATCATAAAAAGTGGAGATAAAATGGCATTCAAGATCCGGATGGGGAAGCGCAGCAGATAAAAGATTCGGATGAAAACAGAAATTAGAGAAAAACCGGAGATTGATGTCAAATCAGCTGTGCACACCCGCGATAAGAATGAAGAGATAGGACAGCGAGGAGAGGGTGGAGATCATCGAAACTCCAAAAAATCACGATGAGCATAAAGTAAAACCGGTATGTTAAACGGGGACTGTGAAGGGGCACGGGAGAAGCAATAGTGGGATTGTCGAAAACAAGACAGCAAGTAAGACAAGCCTATGTGTATGTTGACGAGTACCAGGAAGAACTGAGAGAATCCCGCTCACGGCGCCTGTTATTATGACGACGTACGCACAGACCCACAGTCACGCCAACTAAACAGAGGAGGAACAGGAGGATACAGGCTACCGCGACATAAACCGTATATGTTGTGCGTTGTGAAGAGACACAGGAAAACGGCGTGGGAGATCGCAGGAACTTTAACGGATCAGGCACATACGGTCGCTGTTCTACTTGACATTCGGAAAAGAACTGATCAGGATCCAGTAGCAACGGGGCCAGATAGTTGAGGACATCATCCAGTGGACAACCGCGGTCGGCCGGCTGTTCAGTGCAAGCGCCGAACTGTAAATAGGTTCCCTCATTATCCAGGTAACCTTTTTTGTACACAAGACGTAAACGATACTCGCTGCGAGGAGCTGGTGGTTCTGGGCCAAGCAATTCAATCACAACAGCCGCCGAGTACGGGATACTCTGTTGATCATAGACACCAAAAGCGGCCAACAGATAACAGACATCAGTATCGTGAGCCGAGTAGGCCATCAAATGTTGTATGGACACTTGAAATGTGCGTTGTAGCAAGGTCTTCGAACCGTTCACAATGGTCAGTAAGTGGTCCCTGAGAACTTTCAAGAACACTCCGATTTCCAGTCGGACGATTGCACTGGTGGAGGCAAACCGTTGCTAAGCAAGTAAAAATGTGACGGAGAGAGTTGGGTGAGTGAAATCCATTGAGTTCTTGAGTTTACAAGACGTTGGGAACATTTGATATTTATTAGTAAAATTAAATTACGGTGAATCCAGGGGGGAACAAAGAAGAACGCTATTTGTTAGTGAAAGTATGATTCGCAAAGAAGGAGGAAAAACTGAAGCTTTGATATTTTGCGCGGCAGCGAACGATGTTATAATAAGACGCATAAAAGTGTTGCGAAAATGTTAATGTATCGCGTGTTAAATGAGGTCACATATGGAAATGAACAACGATAAACCCCTATGAAAAGCATGTTTATAGGGCGTGGTAAGTTAACGGTAGAACAGCGAAGCACCCAGTCCTGACCCATGTCAAAGTTTGCATGTGCATAGTCGATCCATCACGACTAATGCATTGGTCTCGTTTAAAGTTATTTTTCCGGGATCGGTTCTCAGTAGTGACTGGTCACTGATGGAACCTGTCGGGTGCAATAAACTCCCGAGGGCTAACGCTGACTCCAACCTATTTGTGTCGGTTTTATCATGCTGGTGGATAGTCTCGACGACCTGCTGTTTAGTGATGGAAACCAGCAACCTAAGCCACCGGACTTCGAGGGGCGAACCACATGGGTATGGCATTGAACCAGCGACAGCAAAGCAGCCTACCTTCAAAGTTGGGTGACGGGGCTCGAGCCTCGGACCAGAGAGTCCAAAGCACGCCGGTGACAACGACTAAACCACTGGACCATCATCATGATACACTTACAATTGAAGATTCGGCAAGTGTGAGTGACGCCGCATTACCATTGGGCAACCAAATATCACCTAACCAATTGGTTGCTTCGTTCAGTTCACTGAACACACGGAACGGACACGAGTGTATCAACAGAGAGGATGAATTCAGTATCATCTAGAGCAAGAAAACAGACACCAGTGATGGTAGGTACGAAAGTTCAGTATCGGTAATAGTGTTGGTACATTGCTCCAGTTCAATAATGTTCGAAATTATATTCAGACGAGTAATGGAGATTACTGAATTCGAACGACGACGACCGTGAAAACGGCATGAAAGTATTGTTGGATTGGATTTATTTACTGTCTAGCCAGGCCTGAACAGAAAGTATGTCGAGCAGATTGTTTGTTTTGACCGCGGGGTCGGGAGTGAATACAATAAGCGTTATTCGTAGCCCAAAGCAGCTACCAACAGAACTGAACATAGTCATGGGGTTGTTGCACCGTTGTTGAGGTTATGGAAAGGTTCAATCAGCTATTTTTCTCCAGCATCAGTCCATTTAGCAAAACAATGGCTCTGGGACAATTGCTTTGACGACTTTGACCTCATGAAGAGTCTGATTACCGGAGGAGTTGATGAACCTTGAAAATCAATCATGAATTTAACAGGAAAAGATGTCCTCTCACTAGTTTTAAAAAATCCTACGTCGTACATGATGCCAACGGAATATGCAAATGGAGGAACAGCGCTGAGAAATTCCCCTGCGGCAGAAAGTATGATCAGTAGAAAACTGGTGGGTTTCACTGTTACTTGAAGCCAAACGGACTTCGAAGTACCCAAAGGTCCGTTTAATTGTTTGATAGTAAAGTCTTGAACTACACGTACAAAAGCTATGTCCAGCAAATACCAACCTAACACCGTGTGGATTTGTGGCGAAAGACTCGTGAAATGTCGGGAATAAATTTTCCAGTAGACTAGCGGGTGTGAGAAGACAGATTGAACGCCGATGAATTAACACTGTACGAATCACTCTTGACGAGGAAAAACAACACCGGAATACTATCACGCTGCAGCTTCCGGCCAAAACACACTGTTTTGTGATGCAATACAACGGATGAAAAGGGTCGCCTACTGGCGATAGAAAAATATGAGAACCTCGTTGACTACGTGAAATGAAACGGGAAATTCCGTTGCATTTACAAAAAGAATGCGTAAATTACCACATGTATCTGGTCCGAGTAAAAACGTAGAAAGAGAGAAAAGTGAAACAGCGCAAGCTTCTAGTGAATAAACCAATGAAGGATAAACTAGTCTGTCTGCTTTTCAATTTATTTTTGTTTGTATTGATTAGTTAGGCGCGCAAAATCAAGCTAAGGTTCGGGGCAGGTCGAATAAAGAAGGTATACAATCGGTCCCTGCACTCCGTCTACAAGTGAGACCGAGGGAGTGGGTAAAAACTACTGGACCGTCAATGGATTGGACCGGTTGTCAAACCCCAAATCGGTTCATGGAATTCGTACAGTGATTCGTTATCGACAGATGTAGAGCGATAGAGAATAGTGTTTGTTTGTATTCGGTGTTCTTGGGTGGTGCGAGTGTGCGACTAAGAGGTCAAATTGGAGGAGGATGACCCTTGATCACGTGACACTCGCTGGTCAACATCAGTGCTTTTGTGCCCTGACTGGAACAATAAGGAGAGAGAGAGGTCAGTAGGTATCAACATCCTGCTGAGATTTGTTGGAGAAAATAAGAGTGATTGTTTCAAGGTCAGAAAGATACCCATCACAGTGTGGGAAAACAATTATTTCTTTCTGTAGTCCTTCTGTAAGCCGTTTACAGATTAGATAGGAAACACAAGGGAAAACATGGCACAGTTGGCACATAGGAGTTTGTCATGGTCACACTCTCTTAGTCAATTTTCCGAATCAGTTTTTCAGTTTTTACAACCATCAACCATGCATTTTTATGGGCCGGTTTTGGTTGTTGCCCATTTGGATAAAAAAGCGCAGAGGGGAGAATGGAATGTTACCAGTAGAATCCAAGAGAAGATAGAGAATTCAAATGAACTAGGGTTGCAAAGATAATGAATGAGTAGAAACAGGAAGGCTAACCTTTCGGGCACACCATTAGCACAAATTGAGAGAGAACTATGGTGAACAACTTCATTTTCAGTATGATTGAGCACTGGATAATATATTAGTAATCACATCATAATGATTGGTGGGCAAAGATTTATTTCTCTAATTGGTATAAAGTAGCTCAAGACCCTAAGGTGGTTGGACGGTGGAATTATTCATTTCTGACCGATCAAAGGCCATGGAAGTTAAAGTGGCTGGGCGAAACGTTTTTGGATGCAGAAGTCAAAGGTCATCTTCCAGTCCCGATCGCTTCAAGCGGTAAGTGTCGAACTGAATACCCGTGCATTTATCACTGTTAACGTACATGAGTTTTAATGTGACGTTTGAAGTGGTCTGAATTGGCCTGATGCCCGGTGTCGGCTAAATGCGACAGGAATGTGCTGTCTATTGATCCGCACTGTATTGGGCTTCACAAACGCGGACGATGATGCTTCTTAACCAGTCAGATTTTAAAGACTCAGATCCTTGATTACGCAACATCCATCTAAAAGAATGCTTGACTGTGATAAACTTCTACCCCCGGATTGATGGCAAATGCATTCTAGTGTCCCCTGTGTAATTCATAACCGCGNACCGCGTGGAGGAGGGGTAACTGGGGGGGGGGAGAGAAAAACTGTTTTCTTCAAAGACAACAAGACAATTTATTGTCAGAATACTAGAGAAGCCTACGAACTTCAATAAAAAGATCCGAGATGTATATCCTATTTCATTCGATAGCTGACAAACTTAGGAAACTTAGTCAAAACAATGCATCAACGAAAAAATCCAAAAACCGTAGCAAGATGACTCTTAAACAGTCCAAAATAGTTTCACAATGAATCAACTGAAGGAAATCTAAAACTGGTGTCGAAACAGTTCAGAAAAACCAAATATTTTCTGACCAATCACTTTCTATTATGATATGTTACCGTCAACAGTTAGTTGTCGAAGTAGCAAGAAACGCTTCAGTGACAACAAAACCGGGACAGATAAGACATGGATATGTTTTCGGGAATGGTCACTTTGAATTAGTACGGCATTTCAGCATTATTATTGGTATTGCTCCTCGTGTTTCCAAAAATGCCGAGTCTATTTTTGATTTAGATCTGATTATTTATCACCTCAGTGATTGCCACTGGATCGGTCAAATACAGAATGCATTCAGTAGTCGATAAAGTAATGCCAACGCATTTCTTTAGGATAATTAGCTAAAAAGTATTATATGGACAGTTTTTCATCATGGTTTAGTTGGTTGACGTATATCTTCCATCCAAATTCGTTATTTTTTTCTTTCTAATTTTCACCTTTTGACTGCATTGAAAGCCCTGTTCGATAGGGTGTTCATTATTTTCCAGGAATCGGTTATTCCTCGTTTACCTTTGATCACGTCCAGTCTAGGATTGCCCCAAGGGGTATGTCATTTTAAAGTGTATGCACCAGTGTAGGGGCCACTATCTTCGAGGCCCCAAAATAGTCCAACTCTAAAAGGCCGAGGTTGAAATACTAAATTTAACTTTGTTGGTTTCGGGCGCCCAATCAATTTATACTGAAGATCTGTCACTTTTATATACTTGTGTCTGTAGTAGACAAAAAGGGGATACTGACATGTGCCCTTTAGAATCTGACAATTTAAGGTCTCGGGGATGGTGATGTACCGGAGCATTCCCAACAATCGACTTTCAGAGCAGGAACAAAACAATACCTACTGCAGCAATTGCAAACTGAGGTGAAGAAGAGGTGTTTAGCAGGTCCAATGCTCCTTTTGCACGTTCCAGACATTCTAACGGGGGAATTGGTCGTATAATATGGATAAGTCTCGTGATCAGGTACTATTTGTGATCACCAGAAAACTCGGAGAACACAACAAAGCTAGGTTGCACGATTTATGCCAAGGCAAATTTCGCTGCATCTCAACTGGTACAACAATACGGCAGAAAAGTTCATATCGTTTACCAAGTACATCAGGTTACACACAAATAAGACGGCCGAATCATTACATTTTTACCACTACCAAAGCAGTGACAGTGTGACTGACAGTTCTTTTTGCACAAACAGAGAGAGAGGCGAGGTTTCCATTTCCTGATTACAGCCTACTCCACAAACCTAAGCAGCCCGGGGGTTAATGCTAGAATCAATGATCTTAAATTGGCTTGTCGGGTCCGGACCACGATTCGTCATCAACAAATGTCGAGCGATGGATGACGAAGACTGTTTGTGTGTTCGGTGTCCTTGGGTAAGGGTAGAGGTTGATACTAGTGTAACGTTACTGAGTATGTTAGTGGTAGGCGATGCGCGTGTGGGATTGAGGCGCAGCGAAATTTGACTTGGCATAAATCGTCCAACCCAGCTTTGTTGTGCCCTCTCTTCAAGTTTATCTCGGTAAATAAATGTCTCAACAAGAAAACTGTTTTTACGATTAGTTAGTCTATTTTGTGTGCGCATAAAATGGGGAGGCAAAGTACAACTGAGAGCAATTTGCCTATAGCAGGAGAGGTTAGTGGGAAAAACAGTAAGAGGATTGAGTCGTTATTCTTGTTGTTCCGACCTCAAAAGTGACCAAACGCTAACTATCGAAAAAGTAGAACAAACAAGGAATAAAATAAAAACAAAGAGACCTTTTAACGCTTCCTTTCCTTCAAAAGTAAACCTTGTATACCCACCGTGAACTTTAGCACCGATAGAAGAGTGGGCTGAATCCACCAATCATAGTATGCAGAGGCCGCACAAAAACAGCGGACACTACGGTCTTTAGGGTACGAAAAGTCAATATCTAGGGGTGATANGTCGAACCGTTGGATAAGCCAGGTATGGCTGAAGCACAGGAACGAAGTTTTAATGCCCGGAGAAACGTCGTAAGGCAACCCCAGTGAGGAATAATAACCGCATGGTGAGAAGGAAAACGATGTATATGCAGACCCATGATATATATCGCATCCAGTGTCAGTTTCATGCTCCGTTGCAATCTGTAACTGGAAACAACTCCCGGCCTCATTATGGACAGTATTCAAACGATTGAAAACACCGAATGAAGTGTTCCACTGTAGGGAAGGCAAATAACAGGAAACAAAGCTACATGGATAAGGAACAGATAACTTACGACCCAGTAGAAGCGTGCGACTTCGGACATTTCTCGATAGAGCGCATCGGTGTACCAGTCGGGCAGTGAATAGTTATGCGCGCGCATGCAAGTGACCACATCAAAATATTCCCACACGTTGTTCCGATCCACACGTTTACCTGTTTTATTGCCCAGCAGTTCAAACATTTTTGCATGTTCGCGCTCAAATTGTAAAGATCGCTCCGAGTCCATTTCCACTTGTTGCAACACGGACAGACATGGACAATCGGCAACGCTGAGAAGAATGTCTTGTTTCTATAAAGGATAAGTAACAAACAGAAGCAGATATGCTTTTGTTACAATGTGCTGTTCACCTTAGCCTTGGTTGGATGTAAACACAAAACAAAACATCGAATACTTGATCTTAGCGTTTCATATATAGAATGAGACGATTGGGTGTACGTTTACATTGATTAAGCTTTCATCAATTCCAGTCTTCCCTAATCAGATTCAACAATGAAATTGAAAGTTTATCATCCTTCTCATTCTTCACATTTGTATTGTTCGTTCCCTCTTTAATAGCTCTAATTCCAATTCACCTTTGGCAATCTACCAAACAACGTTGAAAACACCATGCAATTGGAGGCCGTCGGTCCCATTATTATTATTATTATTAGAAAAAAGACCACCTTTGAGAAAATGAAAGCACAGTATCCCCGTAACGAAGTTGAATAGAGAGGATAAAAACACAGGTTTTGGCTTCCCTGTTCAAAATCAGATAAAAGACTGTCCGATTCACCCAATACACACAACAATGATCGAATATGGAACTGAGGTTTTTACGATGCTCGTATCATATATTACGTTTTAATCCAGGCTGTGTTCCAAACAAATTCTGGCGCAAGGAAAAAAATTACAGGATTTGCATGTGGACGGAGTATTTCTAGGTTGTCATGAGCCGAGACAGGTGCATCTTTTTTGGGAATTTACAACCGGAGCCTGACCCGCAAAGCAGTGGGGCGGTGTGTGAAAACCGGAATCCATTGGAAGCCAATGTCCAGTTCATCGGATCATACGCCCTTTGGACGGGGCCCAGCGTCCAAGGTGGCCAATTCAACTAAACGCCCAACTGAGCCGGTGACCACAGTCAAAATCAGGAACGTGTGTGTTTGGTTTGTACACATCCTCTTAGCGGTTTACAACCGAAGCTAGCCAAATCCTGATCACGAAAGCCGCGGGGGAGGGATGTGACTACCGCTCCCTTCATTACATCGCATGTTGAGAACAGCGAATTACCAACGACGAAGAATCTTGGCTCTCTCTGAATGTTATCATACCGATTCCAAGAGTGCTGTGGACACCGGTTCAAAGACTGCTCCGTCGACAAGACTTGGAAGCGGTGACGAGGTGGACTATGTATAACCTTGGCTTGAGGGATGAAAGCGTTAACCCTAAAACTCACAGCTATAGAACACCTTAGAGTGAGGTCGTAAGGACGGCGAACATCCATGGCATGAGATACTAACCTACACGGCGTGAAATCGGCGTTAATGGTGAGCCTATTGAAAGACCTTTATACGTTGATTTGTAATCCGATCTTATCTACATTTTTTTCATTTCGTGGTAAATTTACCAATTCTATCTACTTGATTATATATTTAATATGTTGTTACTGAACAACTTACAATGATACCTGGTAGTAAGCTTCGGCGAGTGATAAGCAAGGGTAGAGGTCAGAGAAGTCCGGTCTCCTGGTCCTCCAGGTTGAGGGTTCGACTGGAATTTGTGTTTCAGTCGGTAAAAAATAGTGGAAGAGTAATCAGTCCAAGTGAATGGGCCTCCACTTCGCTTCACCCGCTGCCTTGGGTTTAGGTTCTTGTCAGAACTAAAGGCTTTGGTTGACATCCGACTGTCCCTTAAGGGAAGGGTGTACATCCCCGCGGTTCGTAGTGCTCTGCTTTACGGTTGCGAGACCTGGTCTCTCCGAGCGGAGGATGCTAATCGACTTTCTGTATTTGACCACCGATGTCTGCGAAGCATTGCTCGTGTCTGGTGGGAACATCAGGTAAGCAACGACGAGGTCCATCGTCGTGTGTTGGGTGCGGATGGTCGTTCTCTAAC